GGAGATGTGGGGGTGGAATCCATTGGGAAAGGAAAATATGGGATAGGGGAAAATAGGGATTACTGAGAAAAGGGAGGGAAAAGGCAGCTGGACGGGCAGATGGGGGGCAAAGCAGGGGTGGGTGCAGCCCCCCCAGCCCAGCCCCACTCACCCTGCCCGGGGTCGGGGGCTCGGCGGGGGCCGGGGGTCCCGCGGGGTTCCGGAACCGCTGCCGCTGCTCCCGCGTGTGGCGCAGCCCCCAGGCCCACACCGGGGGGAAGGGGCAGGAGGAGGGACCCCCCCTGTGCCCCCCGGACCCCTTCGAGGGGTCCTGCCAGCCCCCCACCGGGCGGTAGGTCTGGCTGCGGGGCCGGGGCTGCGGGGAGAGATGGGGGGGGAGGGTCAGTGCCCAGTTTGGGGTGGGGAAACCGAGGGGCTGGGGGGGAGACACGGGAGGTTTTGGGGGGTCCCTGCCCGGTCTGGGACCCTCACCGGGCCGCCCTGGCCCCGCTGGCGCTGGCAGCTGAAGCGGAAGGTGCTGAGGAAGGGGCTGAAGCTGCTGTCGTGGAGCGCCAGCACAAACGCCTCGGTGAAGCCAAAATCCCCCGGGAACTGGCGGAGCAGCTGCCACGTGCAGTCCAGGAACAGCAGGAACACGGGGGCCTGGGGGGGGACACTGCTGGCACCCTGGGAGGGTGGGGATGGGGGGGGCTCACCTCCTCCCCAGGGGGGTCCCTGCTCCTATCACCCCATGGGGATGGGGATGGGGGTCTCACCTCCTCCCCAGGGGAGTCCCTCCTCCTGCAGGATAGGGATGGGGATGGGGATGGGGACGGGGATGGGGATGGGGATGGGAATGGGATGAGGATGGGGATGGGGATGGGGCTGGGGGTCTCACCTCCTGGCGGGGGCTGTCCCTGCGCAGCAGCCCCAGGCGGTGTGGGAAGGGGTGCCCGGCTGCCACCCACTCCCGCTGTACCAGGCTCTGGAAGCCGTGCAGGGAGCGGGCGTGGGGGTCCCCCAGGAGCTGCACCAGCGAGGCCAGCAGGCAGTTCAGGTCCCGGTCCGAGGGCTCTGGGGGGATGAGGGTGGTGAGGGGGGGGGTCCCATTTCCCTCCCCCCGCACCCCCCTGCTGGTGCCCCCACCTTGCAGGACCACGGAGCAGCGTCTCCCTGCCAGCAGCGACGCCACCTCCATGGCTTTCCTCAGGCAGGTGCTGGGGGGCAAAAAGGGCAGGTCAGGGTACCCCAAAATGCCACAGGCACCTGCCCTGGGGGGCTCACGCACCCACCACAGTGCCCCCGTTTGTCCCACAGCCACCTGGAGCTGTGGGGAGTGGGGTTTTAAGGGAATATCCCCCCTGCACCCCAAAACACCCCCCTGCACCCCAAAACACCCCCCTGCACACCCCGAAAAGCCCCTCCTTGGCCCCCGCTCACCGGACGTGCTCCAGCCAGCGCGTCCCCTCCAGGGCCGACAGCCACTTCTCCTCCGCCACCGCTCCTGGGTCCCACAGGAGGGGTCAGTGGGGGAAGCCCCCCACCCAGGGTGGGTTTGGGGGTCCCCAGGTTCCCCCCGTGCTGCTCACCGGGCAGGCAGAGCGCCTGCAGCTTGAGGTGGGCGAGCTGGATGTCGGCGGGCGAGGGCAGCTCGGCCGTGTCGAACAGAACGCAGGGCCCGCGGTCCCCCAGCAGCAGCATCTCCAGGCACCTGGGGGGGCACAGGGACCCCCGAGTGAGGCCAGGCCGGGGTGACACTCCCAGTGCCACCCCCCCCCAGGACCCCCAGTGCCCACCTCACGTCCTCGCTGCCCGGCTCCGAGGCCGGGTGGAAGCCGCCGGCTCTCAGCAGGTCCCCCCCGGCCGGGTGGTGCCAGCACAGGCGCTGTGGGAGAAACAGGGTGACCCCCCCCACCAGCACCAGCACCAGCACCAGCACCAGCCCCCCACCCCACCCTGCCGTGGCCCCCCTGGGCACTCACGGGCACCCGGCGCTCCTGGAAGTGGCCGAAGGTTCGCTTGAGGTCGTGGTCCAGGAGCCCGCTGGGCACCCACAGGTACCGGGGGAGGCTGCGGGCAGGGGGGGCACAGGGTGGGTCCCACGGGGGCAGACAGAGAGGGGTTCCCCCCACGGGGGGGGTGGGAGGTCCATGCTGTGACCCCCCCCTGGGTGCTGAGGGGCCCAGGGACCCCCATGCCCGGTGGGGCCATACCTGGGGGCCATGTCGAAGCGCTCGTTGACGGCGCTCACCCTCCAGCCCGTGGCACCCAGGCGCTCCAGCTCCTCCTCCCAGTCCCGCAGGCTCTCGAAGAGCAGCGTGGCACCCAGGCCTTCCTCCTCATCCTCCTCCTCATCATCATCCTCCTCTTCCTCCGGGGGGGCCTCGCCAGGCCAGGACCAGCCGTCGTGTCCCTCGGTGTCCCCCGGCCACGCGGCCACTTCCCGCGCCTGGGCGATGGCGTTGGCCACCTGCGAGGGCAGCCAGGGCGGGGTGTGAGCCCCCTCCAACCCCCCCCAGAACCCAGAGTGAGGGTCCAACACTCCAGCATCACCCCCCTCACCCCTGGGCTCACCCTGAACGCTTGTGGAGCCAGCCCGTTGTCGGGGAAGGAGAAGCGGAGCAGGCGGAAATCCCGGCAGAACACGGCGAGCTCCTCGGGGATGAACTTGAGGGTGGAGGTGGCCGTGAGCACCTTGGGCTTGGAGAAGCTGCTGGCTGGGGTGGGGGGCACGGGGCGGGGGGAGGCTGTCAGGGCCAGCTGAGACCTGCCCAGCTCATCACACAGAGCTGAGCTGAGCCCCGAGACCTGCCCAGCTCATCACACGTGTCCCGTTACCTGCCACCAGCTTGCGGATGCAGGTCAGGGCCACCTCGTCCTCGGAGCGCAGGAAGCCGTGGGAGCCGGGGCCCTGTGGGAGAGCAGGGAAGGCTGGAAGCTGCCCCGGAGCGTCCCCCGCGATTCCAGGAAGGGTGGTGGGGATGGGGCTGGGCTCTACAGCTGTCCCATGTCCCTCCTTCACTGTTCCTCGCCCCCGAGGCCGTCCTGCCACGAGGAGCTGCCAGGGCAAACACGGCGGTTCCACAATCGACCAGGCAGGGTGGGCTGGGGTGGGGCTGGGATGGGGTTGGGGTGCAGCTGGGATGGGGTTGGGGTGCAGCTGGGATGGGGTGTAGATGCAACCAGGATGAGGGTCAGGATGAGTTTGGAGTGAAGCCGGAATGGGGCTGGGATAGGGGGCGGGAATGGGGTGGGAAGGGGCTGGGCTGACGGCCGGGGTGCGGTGGGATGGGGTCGGGACGGGACAGGGATGCGGTGGGATGGGGGGGCTCCGCGGTCCCGTTCCCGGTGTTCCCGGCGTTGCCGGTATTCCCGGCGTTGCCGGTGTTCCCGTCGCACCTGGCCGGGCAGGAAGGCGAGGCGGCGGTTGGTGCAGAGCAGCGTTCCCGGGACGGAGCCGGCCCCGCAGCGCTGCCGGGCGCCCGCCGCCTCCTCCAGCACCCGCTCCCCTGCGGGGACCGGCACTGGGTCCGGGGCTCCGAGGGCCCCGAGCCCCCCGAGCCCCCCCGGGACCCTCGGACCCCCCGATCCCGGCCCCGGCCCTACCTGGGAGCCCGGGGAAGGGCGGGCGGCGCCCGCCCGGGGCCCCGCTCATGGCGCAGGGACTTTGGCCCGGGCGGGCCCGGAGCGGCGGGGCCGGAGCGGCCGGGAGGGAGCCCGGAGCGCCCGGCCCGGCCCCGGCATCCCGCCCCTCATCCCGGCATCCCGCCCTCCCCTGGCATCCCTGCCCGGCATCCCGCCCCTCACCCCGGCATCCCGCCCTCCCCCGGCATCCCTGCCCCGGTATCCCGCCCCCCCGGGGCCCGGGATTCGATCCATCCCGACATCCCGAGCCTTCCGCTCCCGGCATCCCGCCCCGCTCCATCCCAGCGCCCGGTGCCGGCGGTGGGAAAGCGGGGAGAGCCCAGGCGGGGGTACAGCCCTGGGGGCCCCGTCCAAGGACAGGCCGTTCTGGGGTCCCCGCAGCCCCGGAGACCCCGCCAGGGACGGGCGGTCCTGGGGTCCCCGAGCCCCGGCCCCCCAGTAAGCGCTGCCCCGGGCAGGGGAACCCCCAAACCCCGTCCCGTCCCCGCAGCGTCACGGGGGGGGGCCCGGGGCCTCTCCCGGGGCCGGGCGGAGCGCGGTGACTCACGGCCCAAGCACGGAGCCTTCTCCTCCCGGCCGGAACGGCGGCTCCCGAGCCGGGCCCGCCCGGCCCCCGCCTCGCCGACCACCGGGGCTCCGACCCCGCACCCGGCGGCAGGTGGATGGTGGCCCTGGGGCCACCTGTGCCACCCCCCCAGTGCCACGAGACCCCCGGGGCACCCCAAACCCCAAGGGAGCCAAGGGCAGCAGCACACGGGGGTATAACTCCTGGCTCGTGGAAAACCCACCGGAGCACGTTTTGGAGCTCCGGCTCCAAATGCCATTTTTGGTGTATTTATTTCCCCCCCAGATTTTTGGGGGGCTGCTGCTCGTGTGCCTCAGTTTCCCTCCTGCAGGAGAATCACCTGGCGGAGGATCCCGGTGGGGCTCGGATGGGATTTTGGCTCCCGCACCTGGCAGGGGAGAGGAATTTCCTGGAGGCTTCGAGCCGGGAGCTGCTCCGCTGCCAGCGCGGGGTCAGCCCGGGCCGCCCCGGCAGAAAAAACCCTGCAGGAAAATCGGCCGGCACAGACGTGGCACCGGGCACGGAGCGGCCACTGGAGACACCGGGAGGGAGGGAAAACACCGGGAGCTGGGAGGGAAAATCCCGACGCGCAGAAATCCCGCGGGAAGCCGCGCCAAGGGTCCCACTTCCCGCGATCCATCTCCGACCACCCCCAAACCCCTTCAAAGCTTGTGTTTGGAGAAGCCCGCGCCAGGAGGCAGCTGGATTTTATCCCTGGATTTTATCCCTGGATTTTATCCCTGGATTTTATCCCGAGGCTCGGGTCAAAAACCGGAGCATCCCCTCGGGGTCGTCCTTGGGATGCAGTTGGGGAAAAGGCTCCAAGGTCAGCGAGGACAGAAAGGGAAGGGAGGGGTGGTTATGGGGTTCAATTTTAAATCAAGGCCGAGAATTGGTACAGAAATGGAATCACAGAACAAATGGAATAGAAGGAAAGAGAAGGAGCAGAAGGGGGACTTACCCACTCCCCAGGAGAGAGGACAAAAAAACCCCCCCAAAATCCCACTAACTGGATGGAGGAAGGGATGAGGAGCAGCCCCAGGGAGGGAATTGGGGTCCCCAGGAGGGGAGGGGGGAGGAAGGAGCCTCGGCGCTGCCCGGGTGCATCAGCTGAAGGTTTTTATTGTCAGTGAGTCTGTGGCAGCACAACGAGGCCGCAGGTACAGCCCGACCGCGCCGCTCCAGCCCTGCTCACCAGGAGGCCGAATATCACCAATTAATACGGAATTAATAATAATAATAATAATAATAATAAAAATAAAAGGTTGGGTGTTGCTTTTTTTTTTTTTTTTTTTTTTTTTTTTTTTTTTTTTTTTTTTTTTTTTTTTTTTTTTTTTTCTGTGAATAAACCACTGCAGAATTAATTCAGGTCACTCGGCGTTAGTGAGACCCAGAGCTGCCCCGGCCTCCCCCGCCGAGGGGGCCGGCGAAGGTGGATCCCATTTAACAAAACCAAAGAAAATCCCAATAAAACGGGTTTTACACACCCTGAAAGATAAAGCTCTCTTCCACCAGGATCCGATGGCAGCGATTTGAATTTCCAACCACACCAGTAAGTGCACTTAGTTTGACCTTGGGGGTCACATTGCAGCCTCCCTGTCCCCGTCCCAGTGGAAAATAAAAAATCCCTCCCCGGGGCAGGTTTGGTGCTTTCCCTCCAGGTTTTCTGCATTTTCCCTCTCTCTCTCCCCACCCCCCAAACCCAATAAAGCAGCGAGCGGGTCCAGGCACTTCCCACCCCCACCCAAAGCCAGCTTCCATCGGGATGGATTTCACCAAATTGCAGAGAAATTCTCCCAAAACCTGCGTGAAGTGTCACCTCCCACCTTCCCCCCCGCCCCGTGCCATGGGGTGCATCCCTGCTCCTGGAGGATATTCCCAGCCCCAAAATGAAGCTGCTGCTCTGGTTTTGGGAAAAAATGAACATGGGACACTGGAACCTGAAAACCCAGGTGAAACCCACCCAACAGTGAGGGTTTGGTTTGGTTTTAAAACCATCTCGGCTTAAAACCCGGGGTGAACCAAGCGGGGCCAGAGCACATCCCTGCCCCGGGGTAAAGTCCATCAGAATTCCTGCAGTTTGAGGGGGAAAAATGCACTCTCTGGCATTTGTTCCGAGGTCAGAGGAGCCAGAGAGAGTGACCCAACGCTCGGGGATTTCATAAAACCAGGGGGGAAAACGACTTAAAACCGGAGTCAAACCATCCCTGGGGCGTTCGAAACTTGGGATTTGAAAACTGGCAGGCAAGGGGGCATCGCTGGGTGGACTCAGAGGTGTTTGGGGTGCCACGGGGAGCCCCGAGCTCAGCTCCCTTCCAGCTCCTCCACCCCATCCCTCATCCCTTCTCCCAGGGAAGGGCCACGGGCAGGGGCAGCTCGGGAGGGGCTTGCATAGTTTGGCGCCTTCTGGAAAACAAAACCCCCAAAATAAAACGGAGGGAATGGTGTAAAGTCGGGCTGAGGGATCAGAACTCCTGTTTTATTTCCATGTGATGGGAAACGCTGCCCCTCGCTCTGTGCAGGACCTGGGGTGGGGGGCAGGGCCGGTTTGGGAGCTGCAGTTACCAAAAAAACCCCAAGGAATTCTGTGCAAACATCGCAGTGCTAAAGTGAATCCCACCCTGGGAGCTGGGGAGGGGGGGCCGGGATGGGGCTGGGAATGCCGTGGGACGTTAGTCACGAGGGGGGGTGGGTTTTTTTACCTTATTGTTCCGCTTTTTTTAGCCCTGTTATCAAAAATATGCGTTAATTCCGCAGCCTAAAGGTCAGTTGGTGGCTCAGCACGGCGGAGCCGAGTTAATCAGGATCAGAGGTAGTACGGAGTAGCTGTGCTCAAGTACGGAGTTATGTGACCCCCCCCCCCTCGGATTGATCCCCTCCTGCCCCGGGGGGATCTGCCCCTCCCCACTGGGAATTCCCAGCAGGAGACCCCCACCCTCGGTTCCCACAAACAGTAAAGCTCCGACCCCCGGAGCGCTGGGAGCTCCCCCTGCCCCAGGAAGCAAGTCTGAAAAGAGCATTTTAAAACCAGAGCTGAGGGGCTGGGGAAGAGCCCACGGAGGGGGCAGAGCCCGAGCCCGCCCTCCCCAGCGCTCGGAGCCATCCCTGGGGGAGTGTGACCCTCCCCACCCCCCCCCACCCCCCCCCGACCACGTCCAACTCCGCCCGTCGCTCAGTACCAGCAAGAAGAAATACAGAATAAAAACCAGTGTTAAAAAACTCCATTAAAAGGTTGGTGACGCTCAAACTGGGGCGTTTTTCGCTCCGTCCCGGGCGGTCGGAAGGACCCGGCGGGGGCTGCACCCCCCCCCCACCCCCAGCTCCCAAAGCTTTGGTCTGGTTTATTGAGTTTTTGAGGAATTCTCCCCCCTCACCCTGTGCTCCGACCCGAGCAGCCCCTGCTGTCCCAAGGCCATCCCTGGGAATCCTCCTCCTCCCTCGCAGGGGCTCTGGGAAAGCAGGGGCTGGTTTTTCCCCACTCCCTCTCCCTCCTGCATCCCCCCTCCATCCCACCAGCCCAATCCCAGGATCGCTCACTCCCTCCTCCCAGAGCGCAGGAGGGAGCCGGGGAGGGGGTGTATAAAACCATCCTGGATCTCCATTATTATTGCATTCCCCGTGTTCCAGGGGGTCCCAGATCCGCGCGGGGCGGGGAGGGGGGGCAGCGTCAGAACCTGTGCACCAGCGCCTCCCGCTCCCGGCGCCGCAGCTCCTCCTTGTAACAGCAGGAACAGAAGTTCCCAGTCTCCGGGTGTCCATAGAAGCTGCAGTTGGGCTGTTTGCACTTGGTCTGCTGGACGCCGTAGAGGGCTCGGCTTCTCGTCTTCTCCGCTGCCGCCGCCCCCTTGTCCTGCTCCAGGAACTCCCGGCAGCCGTTGCTGTGCGGGGGGAGGCAGCCGGAGGAGCCCTCGCACTCCGGAGGGAAGGGAGGCTGGGTGTCCATGTCCGTGGGGGAGAACCTGCCCGGCTGGGCAGGGCCAGGGGGGCCGGGCCGGGCCTGGTGGTGCCGGGGCAGGGTGGCGTAGGGGGGGAGGCTCCCGCAGGGCCCCCCCGCCAGCTGCCTGCGGCCCTCGGGGCACCCGGGGGGGTGCGGCCCCTCCGCGCTGCCCACTGAGGGCCTGGGGAAGGTGAAAACGCCGGAATAGCCGGCGGGAAAAGCGGCTATTTTAGCGCCCAGGGCCGGCTCGGGGGGCTGGGAGGGGTAGGCGGGGGGCAGCGGGGGGAACGCGGGGCCCGGCATCGCCTCCTCGCCCCGGTGGGCACCCGCCTCCCCCTCCGGCTTCTTGGCCGGGGCTGCGCCGCCCAGCGCCTTCTTCTCCGCCTCCTTCTGCCTCTGCTCGGCCAGGAAGCGCTCCTCGGCGTCCAGGAGGTACCTCTGGATCATCTCCTCCTGGAACTGGTGCCGGGTGCTGGTCTTGAGGTGGCCGGCGAAGATGAACTTGCGCTCGCCCTGCATGGCGGCGCGCAGGATGCTCAGGCTCAGCCGCACGTCGCTGCTGTACTTGGAGGGGTCCGGCGCCTTCTCCGGGGCCGCCTTCCCCGGGCACGCCTTCTCCGTGGGAGCCGCCGAGTCTCCAGGGGAACACTCCTCCTTGCTGCCCTTCTGCCCCTTCAGGGACCCCTTCTTCTTCTTCTCCAGGGTGTCCCCCTGCCCGTTGCTCAGGCCGCCCTTCACGGCCTTGCCGTGCATCAAGCCCCCCATGTTCTTTTTTAGCTTGCTGCCCAGGGTCTTCCCGAAGCTCCCCAGCTTGTTGGCCACCGAGTCTGCCCGTTTTTTGTCCTTCTCCTTCTCCTTCTCCCGCTCTTTCTTTGGCTTGTCCCTGTCCTTGGCCGCCCTGGCGCCGCCATTGCTGGCGGAGCTGCTGCACACCGACTCCTTGTCCGACTCGCCCGACTCCGCCGCCGAGCGAGCGTCGTCCCCCGCCGAGGCCGTGGGGGATTCTGGCTGGGCCAGAGGCGCCTGGGGAAGAAGGAAAAGCCAAATCTCAAACTCCAGGAATTCCCGGGGCGGGGATTTTCACGCGGAAGGTGACGCAAAGGAGGTGATGTCGCTCAGGGCATGGAGCGGGACGACATTCGGACGCAGAGCGACGCTGCCCCGCACACCCACGGATATGCCCGTGGCACCCTTCCAACCTGGCATATTCTGGGACTTTATGATTTGAATTCTGTGATTTTATGACTCTGTTCTGGGATTCTGCAACGTTTCAGGGGCAAGGCCAGCAAAGAGGGGGGAAGATCCTTGGTCCCAGTGCCGAGGTGGCTGTAAACCAGCACCTCCTGTTTGTTTGGAGCACCCTGAGGGGCACGGGGGTTTCAGGGCGGTGGAAAGCTCAGAGAAAGAGCTCTGCACACCCCCCACACCGAGTCACTTCCCTGCTCAGAGCAGAATCAGCTGCAAACCCGGCGGGCAGAGCCCCCCAGGCGAGGCCCCACACCCGCTGCCCTGCAGAGAGGAGGGTTAAATAATTCACAGGTAAAGAAGATCCCCCCCTGGTCCCTTTACCTGCGTGTCACAAGGCAACGTGATCCACCTCACAGTCATGTAGCTGTGCAGCAGGTGCAGCTTGGCCTCCAGCGACAGCGTCACACTGGGGTCACCATGGGGGGGGAGGAAAACACAAGTTAGAGCCCAGTTTCTAATTCCCACCTGGGTCTCCCCCATGTTTCCATGTGGGAAGGAAGCTCAGGAGGTGTCACAGCCCCACCCCAAAGGCACCAAAGTGAAGGAGAATGAGGGGAAAGCTGCTCCATCCCCACCAGCAGAGTCATCCCCTAAGCCCAACCTCCACCCAGCACACGAAATCCCAGCTGGGGTCAGGGCTGACCCCTCCAGCCCTGCTCTGTGGATCACCTGGATCCCCCGTGGATCACCAACCTGGCCAGCTTGACGTTGTCACTGTCGTCCTTCCCCCACTGCCAGTCCTTCCCGGGATCCACGGCGAAGTGCACCGGGAGCAGCTTGTGCTCCGAGTCCGTCAGAGGGATCACAGCTGCCCCAGGACAGAAACACCACGTTTACAGCCCAAAAGGACAACTATCCCCCACTCACAGCCCACCTTTCTGATGGGAACAGCACCACAGCAAACCCCAGTGGCTGCCAGTGCCTGGGATCGTGGAATCATCAGAGCGTCGTGGACAGGTTTGGGGTGGAAGGACCTTAAAACTCATCCAGTCCCACCTTCCACCAGCCCAGGTTGCTCCGAGCCCCGTCCAACCTGGCCTTGGACACGTCCAGGGATGAATTTCTTCCCAATATCCCATCTAACCCTGCCTTTTGTCAGTGGGAAGCCATTCCCCCTTGTCCTGTCACTTCATGTCCTTGTCCCAAGTCCCTCTTCAGCTCCTGGAGCCCCTTTAGGCACTGGAAGGGCTCCAGGCTCAGGACACTGTTGCTCTCCTGGGCTGCTGGTGCATGTTGCTGGGTCCTGCCCAGCTCTTTCCCCCCCCAGCACCCCCAAATCCTCCTCCACAGGACTCCTTCAGTGCTTCTTTCACCTGGATCTCATCCCCTACCTTGATCCTTTGTGTTTTCCTTCTGCTCCATGGAGACCAGGGCAGAGAAATGGGCTTGGTCGTAAGCCAGAACCAAGGGAGAGCGGTGGCATTTGTTGGCTGGGACTTCCAGGGGCAGGTAGATCCCTCCAAAGGGAATGGGGGCAAATGCTGGGAAGAAAGCATTTGGGTGGTTAGTTCTGATCACAGGTTCAAGAGGTCAGAGTTGTTTGTGCCACAATTGCTCCAGAATGAGCCGTTTGCCTCAGCTGAGGTCTCACCTGCAATTATCCGTCACCTCAAGGGACTTTAAACAAAACCACAACCCCAGAACGGACATTTCTTTTACATCAGGAGGGTGGAAAATGCAGAATGAGCTGGCATTTTCTATAGAAAACCCTCCTCTTCTTCACTCCCCCACAAGACAAACTTTGCCCACAGAGCGCTGGAAGTCGATTGACCTTCCCTGACGGGAAAATGAAGCCGATGGTGGAAAATCCACCACGCAGGGAACGGAATTTCCCGCCTCTACACGAGAGTGGGGGGGGGGGTAAAGAGGTACAAAAAAGAAAAACCCTCATGGGGTTTCTGCTCTCAAAGCAGCAGAAACAGGGCTGGGAGCCGAGCTGGGCAGGCCTCACCTTCGCCCCCCGAGTCCCGCAGCATCGTGTCTGCCACCACCACGATGGGCCTCTTGAGCACGTGGGCCAGGACGAAGACGTGGAACTCCTCCAGGCTCTCGTACACCGGCTCTTCCGAGCTCTCCACCCTGGGGGGAGAGCAATGTCGCCCTTGGGATACCCAGTGGTTGCTTTGTGACGCCAGGAGGAGGTTTCAGAGGTGGCAGGGCAGAGGTGGATTGACAGCGCAGCCCCAACGAGCCGGCCCAAGGCGGCCCCCCCAGCCCCGTGCCCTGCCCTGGGGCTGCCCCCCGAGCTGTGCCCCGAGGGAGGGCATTCCTGTTTCCCCCCAGGCTGTGTCACTGCCCCCAGGCACTCACGCACCCGCCGCAGCCGCCGCCGTTGGTGCCGTAGTGCACGCGGGGCTCGCTGGACGCCAGCTTGATCAGCTCGTTCCACTCCTTCTGCCACTCCTCCTCCGTGTACACCAGCCCAGACTGGAAAAAACAGCAGTGAGAACCCGAAATCCTCCCAGGAAACCTCTCCCAGTCGCTCCAGCACCGGTTTATACCCACGGCACAACTTTTCTCTATGGATTTGTGCGAAAACAATCACCACGTTCTGCACCACGTCCCTGAAAGGAGGGACCCCCTGCCCCTGAGGGCACCTCCATCCCCCCAGGCTCCAGCCACGGGATGTGTTGGTTTGCCACAGCCCCCCAAACCCAGGGGGTGCTTCCCCAGGACCTTCCCCTGGGCAGGGAGGGCCCAGAGCGAGGCTCCCACCTCCTTGTTCTGCTGCGTCTGCTGCCAGCGCCACCTCCTCCTCAGCGCCTCCCGCTCCGCTCCCTTGTCCATCAGCGTGTACAGGGATTTCCGCAGCATCAGGTCCCGGTCGTGGAAGCCCCACATTCCTGAGGGGGAGGAAGGATGGAGAGGAGGGTCAGGAGGGGTTGGTATCGCCCCCCACAACCTGTTGAGGTCCCCCACTCCTTACCCAGGGAGGCGGCGTGGAGGAGGCAGTTCCCGTCGCCCGTGGTGGCCAGGGGCAGCAGGCGCTGGCAACTGGGATCCACCGTCACCCACCAGTTCAGGCGCCCTGGGGGAACGTGGGAGAGCATGAGACCACAGCACAGCACAGCTCTGGGGGGCACTGGGGGGGCTCAACCCCTCCAAAAGCACCAACGAGGACAAAAGACCAGCTGAACAAGCTGGGGAGCAGGGACAGACCCGTCCCAGGGCTGGGGAGCAGGGACAGACCCGTCCCAGGGCTGGGGAGCAGGGACAGGACGTTGATAAAGCAACAAAAAGGGGAGGTCGGAGCTGTAAAACTTCCAGGGGACGCCGGGAAAGGGTCAGACTGAACAGGGTCACCCAAATCAGAATTAAACAGGAATAAGAGCCAGGACTTCCACCCAGACCAGTTCTCCTCTACTCATTTCTCCCCTCCCCTTATTTCCCTCCCCAAAAAGCCCATCATGCTGAAAATGCTTCTCCAGGGAAAAAAAAAAACAGCTTTTTTGCTGCTTCTTGGAACCAAATCCCCTTGGTTTCCACCCTCTCCCAGCCTGGTTCTCCCTGCTCACTGGTTCCCAGGCAGAACACTCCGGGATTCCTGCTGATCCCAGCAGCTTTCCCGCTGCAAACACGAACTGACGGCGCTTTGTGCCCTTTAAACCGCGAGTTTTGGGTCATTGTGGCGGTTTGACTCGAGAGCAGCTAAAAATAGAAGGTAGGAAAAACTGCCCAGCCAGCCCAGCGTGGCTGGAGGCTCAGCCTGGAGGTCCAGCCCTTCCCGAGGGAGCAAAGCGGGGCTGGCTCAGCACTCTGAACCCCCCCAGGCTGTGTCTCTGCCCTCAACACCCCTCCTTGGCTGCCTCGCTCCCCAGGAGTTTTTGGATCCTGTGCAACAGGCAGGCTTTTGGCTGGAGGAGGCTGTTCAGCCTTCCAGCGAGTTGTATTTAAATCGCTCCTGCAGGAAACCAGCCCTTTCCCAGCCCTTTCCAAGGAGCCTCTCCCTCCCTCCCGAGCCCAGGCCCTGCCAGGGATCCCGACAGGCAGACATGGGACTGCTGGAAATGGTTAGCACAGCCTCAGGGAGGAGCTGAGTGCAGGAAAAGGGGGTTCCAACACCCCCAGACAGGGAACACACAACCCCCCAGCCCAGTGCGAGGCGGGTGGGTCGATCCTGCGCCCTGTGCCGGGACAGAGGGACCCGCCGGAGCCTGGGGACAACGGCTCTGCGTGGAAAAGCCGGCTGTTCCCTCCACACAGCTCCTGGCACGGCCCAGCAGGGAGCCTGGCCAAGTGGCCCAGGGCCAGGGCAGCGAAGGCACAGGAGCCACCCCCTCCCCACCCCAAAACGCTGCCCAGGGGTCCCTTCCATCCCCCTCCCCTCCTTCCTGGGGGACCCGACGCCCTTCTGAGTCCCTGCTTGGCACTGTGGAGGTTGTGCAAGCTCTGGCTGGGTGCCCTCCCGGGGGACACACCTTGGGGAGGTATTTCTGGGCCCGAGTGTTTGCAGCCACTCCGGTTACACCAGAGGAGCCGTCTCCAGAGGAACCGCAGCCCAACCCCGCTTTGCTCCCGCTGTTTTGCTCCCGTCGGGGCGGTGGAAAGGCCAAGGGGCCGCCCAGGAGGAAGGAAAACAACACACATTTCTTAGGAAACAGCCCCGAGAGCTCTGCCAGGGCAGGACAACTGGATTGGGGAGCACAGAGGGATCTTCCCAGAGCGGCAGCGGGAAAATCCGTCGGCATCCAGAGGCTCCCTCTGGATCCAGCACCACGACCCTGCGGAGCCCAGTGTCACCCCACAGAACAGTGATTTGTCCCCACAGGGGTCAGGGGACAGTGCTGTCCCAAACACAAAAGGTGTGTTTGGGGAAATCCCATCGTTTCTTCCAACAGGAACCACCCCAACAGGCCATGGCAGCGGGGAGGAACCGGCAGCTCCTCCCAGCCCGAAACGGGAATTGCCTCACCCAAAACCCAAATGGCTCCCCTAAGGCTACCGGGAATCCACTCCTGTGGATCACAGGAGGGAGGGAGTGTCCCAGGGATGAGCCCACTCTGCAGCATCCCAACACAGGGCAAGGCCTGATCCCCGATCCACGAGGGTTTGTGCCAAAGGACACCCAGGCTACGGCGAGGGCTGAGGCTTCAGCTCAGCCAAGACCTTTCTGTACCACTCCCAGCACGTTCAAGGCATTCCCAGAGGATCCCATTGCAGTTTACAGCCCCTTTGGAAGCACCTGCTCTGCCACCGTGGTGTAACGGGGTCTCTGGGTGCGCAGGGAGAGGATCTGAACGTTTACTGGGCTATAAAACATTTCCTTAATCCCCTAAGGGACAGTGTGTGCCAAATTAATGACGGGAGCCTCCCTAGATCACAGCACCACGCTCAAAGCCCTACTTGGAATCCAGCTTGGAATATTTCAAGGCTGCATTACAGCCCTTTGTTACAGACAAACACTCGTTTACAACAACCCACAGAGCCTCCCAAAGGCGTCTTCTAAAACCCCACATTCCTCCCCGTTAACGGTGTCCCAGCGCTCCTGGAAGTGCCCCCAGCCCACGGATGGAGCACCCAGCCCCCTCCCCCAGCCCCCTCACCCCACAGGAACCCAACCCCCCGAGCCCACTGGGATGGGATCCGGGGTTTATCTGCACCAGACCCGACGGCGGCGCCGTTGCCGTGTAAGGGGATCGTGGGGATCGAGTGCTCATTCCCAAAACATGAGAATATTTGTTACAGCAACACCTGAGCGGGTGAGGGACAGGCTGGGCACTCCGAGGGGCTGTTATCCCTGAGGATAGCGGCCACAGGAACAACTGGGGGTGCAGACCCTCCTGAGCCCCCTCCTGTGTCCTGGGGGCAGGGATGGGGCTTTTCCCCACCATTCCCCAGCTCAACCCTATTTACACACCTCTGGGAGCCACTCAGGAGACTGATGGGAAGCAAATCCATGTGCCCTGGGCAGGGGGTTCCTCCCCAGGCACACAGTGAACCAGCGGGTGCTGGAGCAGCAGCATCGACCTTGTGCCCAAAATCAATCCCGGATGGGGCAGCAGCATCAGCTGCTGTCTGTGTTACACAGGAATTCCCTTCTCCCTGTCTCTCCAAGGGGCTGGCTGGCTGGAGCATGGCACTGGAACGCTCCAGGAGTGAGACAACGCCAGATTTTGGGTGCCCCCACTCATCTGTGCGTGGTGACAGCAGCCCTGGGCTACGTACACACGGTGTCCCTGGGTGAAGGAAGCAGCTCCCCCTCGGCCCTTGCACCAGGCCATAAAAAGCATGGAATGACTGGCTCCCTGTCGGATGTTGCATCCCTGTGACATCCTGGGGCGTTCCCAAGGGTCCCACTGCCACCAGCACAGAGCCAGCACTCACCAGCCTGCTCCAGCGCCACCAGCACGGAGCCAGCACTCACCAGCCTGCTCCAGTGCCACCAGTACGGAGCCAGCACTCACCGGCCTGCTCCAGTGCCACCAGCACGGAGCCAGCACTCACCAGCCTGCTCCAGCGCCACCAGCACGGAGCCAGCACTCACCAGCCTGCTCCAGCGCCACCAGCACGGAGCCAGCACTCACCAGCCTGCTCCAGCGCCACCAGCATGGACTGCTCGATGAGGTCGCGCTCGATGAAGCTGCGGAACTCCTCGGAGTACACGGTGAGGTCGGGCAGCTGGAAGGTGCAGATGGGCGTCTCCAGCAGGTGCTCGCCGCCGCCGCCGCCGCCGTTGCTGGAGACGTGGGAGCGCGCCAGGGACACGATGGTGGAGCTGGCGTGGGAGATGCCTCGGGACAGGCGCTTCTCTGGGGAGGGGAAAAAGGCAAAACCCACCTGAGCGAGGCCGGCACCAGGAGGAGGAGGAGGAGGAGGGAGGTCAGAGGGGGGACCCTCTGGCTGCGGGACACTGACCTTGCACGAGGTCATCCTGGCGCTGCAGGGGCGGCCGGCCCGGCCGTGCCGCCTCCCGCGGCTCCGGGGTGCGGGCACCGCGGCCCTCGTTGAAGGAGGGCGGCAGGTTCCCCGCGTGCACCTGCCGCAGCTGCTCGAAGTCGCTCAGCGCCGCGCTCAGGTCCCAGTTCTTGCCTGCAGGGGAAGGGATTGGACTGGGGTTGACGGTACAGAAAGCTGGGGAGGCCCCCCCCTGCCCAGGGAAGCTGTGCATGGCCCACCCCTGGAGCTGTTCCAGGTTTGGAGCAACCTGGTCTTGTGGAGGGTGTCCCTGTCGTGGTCCCTCCCAAGCCAACCCACTCCACGGTTCCACGATCCTCCAGACCCGTCCCTGCCACCAGACACAGAGGAAGCTCAAAGCACAGATGGGAAAGCACGACTTGAATCGCTCACCTCGCCCTCAAACTCCACTCTGTGCATCTATTTATCCGACTGCTTCACCAATACCACCCAAAAAAGGAAAATCCTCGTGTTTTCCCCTCATTCCCACCCCCTGCAGCTGTCAGCTCCTCCAAGGCTGCCGGAGGAACAGCAGCGTCACCGAAACGAGCTGGAAGTGCCGCTTTCAAAATAAATCAACTCCCGCAGCGCCACTGGAAAGAGCCATAACCCCAAAGTTTTTGAAGGCACTGTTGATAAAAAGGAAAAAAAAAAACCCACCCTCTTCACTTTTTTAAGATGCCATTGATAGAAAGGAGAAAATCCTTAATTTTTTTTAAGGCACTGCCGACAGAAAGATAAAAAACCCCTTGAGTTGTGTGGCCGGCGGCGGATGGAGGAAGGGAATCCACCCTCCTGCTTGCTGCCCTTTCCTTCCCAACGCTTGCAATCCATCACCCCGGAGATGTGCAAGGAGAAGCCAAGGCAGCCGCATCCCCAGGGCAGGATTTTCCTCTCCCAGCCCCGCAGCTCCGGGCCCTCTTCCCAAGTCCTTTCTCCCTCCTGCCTCCCCCACAGCCACCTCTGGCTCTTCCCCAGTTATTCCCAGCTTTCCTACCTTCAAGGAGGTCTCTGGCCAGCCCCGGCTCTGCCCCCGTCGAGCGAACAAAGTCGGACAGGACGATGTCCATAGCCGAGGCCGTGGCTCATGGAGCCGCGCACGGACGGGGTCGGCGGCGCCTGATCGGCTCCTCGGCATCAATCTGGCAACGACACCCACAGCGCACATGGATGGGCTGGTGGAGGGTAAAACAAGGAGCCAGGCCATGAACCTCCCCCCTGGAGTTAACTGTGCTCAGGGACTGCCCGCTCATGCACTGGGAAGTGGGAGAACAACGGGCATTTCCTTGGAAAACCCAGGAGCTAACCCCAATTCTCATCCCAAAGGTGGTGGGGCTTCTCTTCCCGCATTAGGGATGAGGAGCTGGGAGTAAATGACACAAGAAGTGAATGTGTGGGAGCGGTGAGAAAGCAGGAAGTTCCTCTCAGGCGTTTACAGGGAGCAAATCCCTGCCCCATCCCGCTCCCAGCTGCGGGCCAGGGAAGGGGAAGCAAGGCCAAAATGCTTGGAATTAGGAAGTGTGCCTGTCCTAAGGAAATTTTAGAAATCCCCTTCCAAAAGGCAAAAAGAAAAAACAAACCCCAAACAAACAAAAAAAAAAATAAAACACCCCAACTGCTCTTGCAGGGAAAATAAACGTCCAGACAGAGCTCCTTCCCAACCCAGAGCTCCTCCCCAACCCACAGCTCCTTCCCAGGCTCCTTCCCAATCCAGAGCTCCTTCCCAGGAGGGAGCAAAACCAAAGATCTATCCTGTAACTCTGGATTTTGGCAGTTTCTGAGCCTGGGGAAGGCGTGTGCTCCCGCCGTGCCCCCGAATCCTGAATTTCCGCATTCCTCGGGGCAGAAGGGGGAAAGGGAAAGGGAGATGGGCAAAGAGCTCTGCTGGATTTGGGGCCTTGCAGTTAAAGGCTGGGATAAAAATCCTGCCATCAAGGAACAGAAACCGCCAGGAGAAGAATTCGCCCCAAACCCAAAATGTGGAAGAAGGGGGGAAAAAAGGATTGGGAAAAGGGAAGTGCTGGTGCATTGGGAATAAAAGAGGACATTTCAGGATTACGTGGAATACGAACAAATGTGGTTGTTTCCCAGGGAGAACAACAATCTCTTTTACAGGATTATCCCTAAAGATGAACAAAATTCCCTGGAGCCTTGAAAATGTCTCTTTTTCAGGATGGGTAAAACACCCCCGGAGTCTCTTTCCGAGATTATCCCTGAAGATGTGCAAAATTCCCTAAGAGCATGTGCAAAATTCCCTAAGGGAACCGTTAAACATCCAGGTTATACCCTGGAATTCCCTGGCTTTGCTGGGGAAACACCATTCCCCCTCTCTCAGGGTGGTGTCATCATTAACTTCCTGCCCCCAGGAAAAAACTCCTCCGTGTTTTCCTGCGGAGAGATCCCGGAGCCACGATGGGAGCGGGATTTGGCAGCGATCCCTGCCCTGGCCCCACCAGTTTAGGGAAGGTCCTTAACTGGGAGCCGCTCGCCTGGATCCCTCCATCCCTGGCAGGAGCTGCAGGAGCAGCGAGCGGCTCCGGGACGGGATAACGGGATAACGGGTCAAACTTCCCGCGGGTGGGGTTTGGAATCCCAAGGGAAAATGGAAACTCAGCGGAGCTTTGGGGAGGGAATGAGCAGCACAGCCAGAACACCCCCCCATCCATGGCATTCCAAACTCCCTCGCACACAGGAACGCCGGGGGAAACGCTGATGGAGAACTCCGGGCCCGGCAAGGATGGACTGTGGGGGATTTATCAGGGATTGGGACAGAAACGGCCCCACCCCAGTGTCAGTGATCAGTCCCTGCCCCTGTGGGAGGGAAGGGCTCTGTCCTCTCCCCCTCCTTTTGGAACAGGTTGGAAATACAAAGCCCAGACGGGAAATCCAAGCCCTGGGAGAGGCACAACTTCAAATCCACGGAACAGCAGAGCCCGAAGTGCCCTGGGATGGATCTAATCCAGAGTGAGCATTCCTGGCACATTCCAGCCAGAGAAGTGGGGAACACGTGCATTTCAGACTCCCACCATCCCGGTGATTCTCTGCAGGACCCACCAGGAATTCCCGACAGGAATTGAGACCTTTAACACTGAACAGCCATCTAAAACAAGGGGAAAGTCATAAACCACCCCCACCCAGAGCTGCCACTCGCTCCCCTCAGGGCCTCTTCCAGAGCAACTCCAGAGTGCCAGGTTTGGGAAGGGACTCAGCAGGAGCACCCCAGAGCATCCCAGAGCAGGACCACACTGCCAGGACACCATCAGGGGAATTGGGAGGCTGAGGGAGGAATTCCAGAGGACACAAGGTCCAAGAGCTCAGTGTCCCTCAGCTCCATCGAGGGGGGGAAAACAAACCACCGAAAACACTGAGCTGAAGCATTTCACCAGAACTAACTGTGGAGCAGCAAGGCCAGATCCATGGGAAGTTCCAGGATCGGGATTTACAGGGCTTTAGCTCCTTTATTTTGCCAGATTTCCATCGTGCTGAACATCTGCTGCAGGAACAGAAAATAAAGGCCTTTGTAAGGGCCAAATCCCAAGCCCAGGTCAGCCACGGCCGGGGTGTTTACAGAGGTACTTCCAGAAATATTTTAGGAGCAGCAAACTCTGACGTCTCTCCCCCGGATCTGCCACGTGATGTTTTGCAGGAACCGAGTCGGGAGCCAGGACTCCACTCCCTGGGCTCTGCTCCCTGCCCGGCCCCTCCGCCACACCCCAGCCCCACGGGGGACATGGGGACCCCCAGAGCCCTCGGGGACCCCCAGAGCCCTCGGGGACCCTGCAGGTGACGCAGGAGCTGCCCAAAATCCACGGGAGGTTTGATCCACCCCGATGATTTTGCTCCCATCACTGGGAAGCTGCAGGAGCAGAGAGGCCAGTGGGCATGTATGGAAGCCCTAAACCCAAATCCCCCAAATCCCTGGAATTTGGCAACGCTCAGGGCCAAGGAGGGGGGCAGGGGGGACACCTGCAGCACCCCTGGCTCCAGGGAAAGGCCCGTGGAAGGACCCCCAGGTGGGACAGAGGAGCAGCCCCAACCTGATCCCTAAAGGAGTGGGGATGAGGAAAATGAGCTTCTCCCGTGGTTCAGCTCCAAGCAAGCAGGTCCTAAAGGTCCTGGAGGAGGTTCCCCCTGCTCCCCAGGACGGTGGGAGCTGCCTCCACCCCATCCCACATCCCGGCAGGTTACCTAACGCCGCCGGAACAGCCGCGCCGGGATTAGCGGGGACCGCGCTGAACCCGACCTGACCTGACACCTGTGCCGTGCTCACTAAGCTCCCACAGGGGCTGCAGGGGCACAGTCCCACCTCATCCAGGGTGGGAATCAACCTGGCTCACCATCACCATCACCACCGTCACAGAAACTCCACCAGCAAAGCCCAAACCCCAGTGATTCCCGATAAAAGCGACGGTGCAGGAACACCCCACGAGCTGCCCGGCTCCCTCAGCCCGAAGGAAGGGTGCTCGGGGTGCAGGAGGAGGTCTGAGAGGGAAAACAGCGGGGATATTTGGGACACAGATGGGACAGGCAGCTGAGGCCGGGCTGGGTGAGGCACCACGGTCGCACCTCGAGGTACGAGCAGCTCTCCAGGGAGATTCCCCATCCCAGGAACTGTAGCCTTGGGAGCCTCTGGCAGAGCTCTGGCAAAAGGACAGCACATGATCCCTGCAAAGCAGAGCTCTCCCAGCTGGGAAAAAGGGTTCCTAAAACCACACTGGTGCTTCAGGAGTCAGGGTGGGCTGAGCGAGTCACAGTGAGAGTCACAGAAATCATCCTGTTTTTATAAAGCTTCAGTGCTTCAAATAACGGCTTTATCCTGTTTTCCAGAGCTCCAACAGCTTCCTGCTGCTCCAGGCACAGCTGGGCTCCTCCCAGCACCCAGACCATCCCAAGGAACCCGCTGTGAGGGAGAAAAGCTGAGAAAGTCTCCAACACAAACGCAGCAGCTTGGCCAAATCCAGGCTCTGCCCCATCATCATCATCATCATCATCTCTCCTAGTTAGCAAGTCCTCTGCTCCCAGGAATGACAGGGACTCTCCAAGGACCCACTCTGGAGCACCGACAATAAACTTGGTCCTCTCTGCAGCCGCACCAGGGACATTCCCCTGGAGCCAGACTCTCTTCAAACCAGGCCGTGACTATTTCCAGCCCGATCCCTGGATCTCCAGGAGCCCCAGGCCCGGCACGCTCCGTCCTTCCCGCTGTCCCAGGGGATGCTCCAAGCGGCCACTCCGCAATCGAGGCCACGGCAGCCTTATCCCCCACTCTGTGTCTCCTCCCCGGAGCCTTCCAATCCAGGGCTCTTCCCGCCGGGAAAATCCACTTTTCAGTCCCTTCCAGGGACGGCTTTGGGGTGTAACTCGGGGCTGTGGGAGCCAAGGCACCTGTTGAGGGCGGGAGCATCTCCCCGAGAGCAGAACGGGCACCGAGCGGCACAGATTCAGCACAAACGCTCCGGTAGAAAACCCAACCGGCCGAAATTAAAGCGCCGGGAAGAGCAGAGCCTCGGATTTCGAGTAACTCGGGCGCACGGCTCCTCTTCCCATCCCCCTGCCGCCCTCCATCCCGCCGGGATCCGGACACCCACACAAGGGTCTCAGCCCCTCGGCAGTGCCCGGGGGTGACTCCTGGAGCAGTTTCCCTGGAGCTGCTCCTCGCCCGCGGGGACAACGCGGAGCTCCCTGGATTCCTCTGGATCGGGACCGGCAAACTCCGGGCTGCTCCCTGAGCTCTCGTCCCGCTGCCGAGGCGGCCCCGGCGGCCGCTCCGGGATCTCCAGCGCTCGGGAAGGGCCCCCCCCGCGCCCCCGGGCTCGACCCCCCGGCCCGGCCCTCGATATCCCGGCGGCACCGGGAAAACAAGCGACGATCCGGCCGTAAATCCCCGGGCCTGGGGCAACGTCACCGCCCGGCCACGGGGATGGGGGGGAGGGGGGTACTGGGGGTCGCCGCTCCCCGGTGGAGCCCCAAGAGCGGGGGGTGAATCCCCGGGGGGCTCCGCACCGGGAGCGGGCGGGGGGCGGCCCCGGCCCGGCCGTGGGCGGTTGGAGCGCGGGGGGGTCCGCCCGGGCCCCCGGGGCCGACCCCGCACTCTGGCACCGACCCCCGAGCCCCCCACCCCGGGCCCGGCCCCCGAGGCCGCGCTGCGACCCCGCGGGTGCCGCCGCCGCCCCCCCCCCCCCCCCCCCCCCCCCCCCCCCCCCCCCCCCCCCGGGGGCCCCCCCCCCCCCCCCCCCCCCCCCGCACCGCACCCCAAGGCCCGGCCCCGACAAAACTTTCCGGACGCGGCGCCGGCCCCGCCGTTACCTGCGCGCGGCTCCATGGGCGGCCCGGCCCGCAGCGGAGCGGCCCCCGGGCCCTCCCGCCGCCGCCGCCGCCGCCGCCGAGGCCGCTCCCGGGGCGGGGGGGGGCGGGCGGGCGGGGGGGGGGGAGGAACGGAACGCGCCGCCCGGAACGCGCCGCCGCCCCCGTTCCCGCCCGGAACGCTTTGGCCGCCGCACGCGGCCGCCGCCGCCACCGGGCCAATGGCGGAGCAGCGCCCGCCCGCGGCCACGCCCACCCCCGCCGCGGCACCGCGCCTGCGCGGGGGGCGGGGCAGGGGAAAGGCGCCCCCTGGCGGCGGGGCGGGGGGCTGGGACCCCCCCCAGGGACCCCCCCCAAGTGGGGTCCGAGACCCCCCGTGTGCCATCTGTGCCCTCCCTTCCCCTCTGTCTGGGGGTTATGTGGGGCCAGGACCCCCAGGGTGGGCTGAACCCCTGACACCTGAGGTCAAGGGACCGGCACCCGCTCCCCTGGGCCTTATTCCCACCGGGAATGGCTTTCCCTGCCATGGAAAGCCACTGACACCCCCCTTTCCCCCTGAACAGCGCATCCCTCAGCTGAGTGCCTGGCATTCCCTGCGCCAAGGGCTTGGAATTCCCTGTGCCAAAGGCCTGGCATTCCCTGTGCAAACTGCCTGGAATTCCCTGTGCAAACTGCCTGGAATTCCCTGTGCCAAGGGCTTGGAATTCCCTGTGCCAAGGGCTTGGAATTCCCTTTGCCAAGGGCCCAGCATTCCCTGTGCCAAAGGCCTGGCATTCCCTGTGCGAAGGGCCCGGCATTCCCGTGCCGTGGGTGCCCACGGAAGCAGCGGGCAGTGCCCCGTGCCGTGCCGATCCCGAGGGCCCTGGTGCCGGGAATCCTGCTGGCACAGCCCCCACGGAGCCACGGCTGGCATATCTGCCCTCTGGTTCCTCTCCCACTCGGTTTTCCCTCCGGAAGAGCACAGGTGGGAGAGCCCCCACGGCCACCAGCAGCAAACAGGGCCCGTCATGCGCAGGGCTCAGCTGATCCCAGAGCTCAATCCCGCCTTTGTGTCCTGCCGGGAACCTGCCCTTGTTTGTGCCCCGCACAAAGGGCTGGTTTGTGCGGCCGGGCAGGAATTGTCCGGCACAGAAGGGACGGGATGTGCTGCGGGGTTTGTCCCCGAGGGCTGCGGGGTTTGTCCCCAGCACGCCCCGCGGCCCTGCTGCCCCGGGGGTGCCGCTTCCAAAAGGATGAGGTTCTGGATCCAAACGGGCCTTCCCGTGTTTATCTGGGGGTTTTTCTCCCCATCTCACTGTTTATGAAACAATAACGAGGTGAGCTGAAGCCCCTCGTGACTCCTCATCTCCAGAGCTGAAGACTCATCCAGGCCTTATTTTACTGCCAGGAGCATCTTTTCATGGAGCACTCTTTCCCAGGAGACTCCTGGGACACGAGTCGTGTCCGAGTGGGAGAACAGGGATGTTCCCAAGCCCCTCCGGTGGCTCTGGGGGATGTCCTGGGAAGCACAGGCTGCCGTGGCCATTCCTCCCTGGAACCAGGAGTGGGCAATCAGCTGCTTTTTAAAGAACCGTGGTGGAGTTCGGTCCCTTAAAATAGCAGTGCTGTAATCCCAGACAATCCTATTGCCCCAACTTAGGGACCGACGTCCGTCCTGGAGCTGCTGTGACGGTGTCGGGCCCAGGGCAGTTGTAGGGGAGGTTACAAGCGTGAAATTTCCTCAGAATGTAAGTTGTTTTAAATGTTTTACCTGCAAACCACGGAGAAACGTCCCACCAAGAAGCCTCAGAGTTTTGGTTTGCGATTCGTTTCCTCGAAATGGCACAAGAAGGGGGGTTTGTCTTCCCTAAGGACAAGGACAAAGATGGATTTAAGGAGGAGAAGACACCCTGGGTTTGGCTGGTTCACAAATAAAACCCTCACTGACCTCATCCAAAAGCATTTCCAAGGAAACTGGACAGTAACTAAACAAGCACTTTACAGGCACTGCATCATTCAACATCCAAACAAGGCCAGAAAACAATTGGGTGCAATTAAATTTAAAAGCAAAAAAAAATCCCAGTGGTTTATTCCATTTGCCATTATTGTCTGGCATTGTGGCTGGGAGCACCCACACATTCCATAGGAAGTCAGTTTGGATATAGGAAACCACGTCAGGTGTAAAATAAAAAATGTAAGAAATAAAAGGCTGGAGTTGAATTTTTTTAGCTAAATGCTTATTTAAACCACCCAAACCCCTGGGGGTTGCAGGAGACCCAAAGTGTTGGGAAATGAAAAGTAAAACGGGATCTGGACAGGAAATGGAAGGATTAAAGATGACGAAGGTGTCGAGGAAAAGGGGAGCTGCTTAATTGGAGGTGAAAGGCAGGACGTAATCATTAATTAATCGTTATCCCCCCGCTATAAATAGGGCCCCGGCAGTGGGGGAGTGTCCGGCCCCGGGTCAGCTCTGTCCCACCGGGAATAGCACTAATCCCACTGCCCTGCTCCAGGGATTAACGGGACCAGGCTGGTCCTGGAGCCCCGGTACCGCTCACCCCTCGCCACCCCCTGGGCCCTCCGAGCAGCTTTGCCTCACGTTCAGTGAACCTGAGTCCCGTCTTTGTCCTTGGGAACCCCAGGGGACCCTCCTGGGGTGCGCCAAGTGCTCCTGGGGGCTTGGGGTGGGCTTGGGGTGAGATGGGGCAGGTCTGGGGGTGTTTGGGGTGCGGTGGAGTGAGTTTGGGTGGATTTGGGCATCGCTCGGGGGAGTTTGGGGTGGGTTTGGGTGGATTAGGGGTGGGTTTGGGGTCGGACTGAGTGGGTTGGGGTTGGTTTAGGCGGGGTAGGTTTAGGCGAGGGTTGGGTGAATTTGGGGTGGGTTTGGGTGGGCTCAGTCTCACGCTGCTTCACCTTCCCAGGCCATTTCCACCGCCCGGGTGCACTCGGGCCCTGGGACGGGCGAAAGAGCTGGGCCGGGGCTGCGGGACCGCCCCGAGGGGCTGCGGGGCCTGTGGGGGCTGCGGGGCCTGTGGGGGCTGCGGGCGGAGACCCCTCACGCTGCCGGACTACAACTCCCAGGAGGCAGCGGGGCCGGGAAGAGCCGAAGCGGGGCCGGGCGGGGCCGAAGCGGGGCCGGGCGGAGCCGAAGCGGGGCCGGGCGGAGCCGAAGCGGGGCCGGGCGGGGCCGAAGGGAGCCGAAGCGGGCCCGGGGGTCGCGGAGCGGGCCCGGGGGGCAGCCGGGCGGCCCCGGCAAGATGAACGCGGTGCTGGCGGTCCGGCAGTACGTGTCCAAGATGATCGAGGACAGCGGCCCCGGCATGAAGGTGCTGCTGATGGACCGCGAGACGGTGAGCGGCGGGCCCGGAGCTCGGTGGGGGCGGCGGGGCCCGGAGCGCCGGGCCCGGGGTCGCGGTGACGGGCGCTGTGTCCCCCCCTGTGCCCCCCCAGACCGGCGCCGTGAGCGTGGTGTACACCCAGTCCGAGATCCTGCAGCGAGAGGTTTACCTCTTCGAGCGCCTCGACTCGCCCAACAGGGAGCCCATGAAGCACCTCAAGGCCATCTGCTTCGTGCGGCCCACCAAGGTACCGGCCCTGCCCGGGGGTCCCCGCACTCACCGGGGTAGGGGGGGTCGGGGTCTTCTCCCAGGGAGCAGCAGGACAAGAGGAAACGGCTTCGAATTGTGCTGAGGAAAGGGGGGTAAGGGTTAGGTCGGATACTGGGGAAGATTCCTTCATGGAAAGGGCTGTCCAGCCCTGGCACAGGCTGCCCAGGGCAGTGGTGGAGTCCCCCCCATCCCTGGAGGTGCTAAAGAATGTGTGGATGTGGCACTTGGGGACACAGGTGGCCTTGGCAGTGCTGTGGGGCTGCCAAACTGCAGGATCTCAGAGGCTTTCCCAACCTTAACACTTCCGTGATTCCACATTCCTCAACTCTGCTCTCCTCGCTGCTGTTTCCACGCAGGAGAACGTGGAGCTCCTGGTGCAGGAGCTGCGGAGGCCCAAGTACAGCGTCTACTTCATCTGTGAGTACAAACCATCCGGGGGTGCTGGGGGTCCAGAGTCTGGGTCAGGCTCCAGCTCCCAGTGTGGGTGACACAGGCTCCACATCCCACTGTGGGTGGCACAGGCTCCACATCCCACTGTGGGTGGCACAGGCTCCACATCCCACTGTGGATCACACAGCACCTTCCCATGCTGGGTGTAATCAGGCAGGTGCTTCCCACGCGTCCTGCTCGTGCCACGGCATGTTCCGTGGTTTTGGGAATGAAGCAGCACGACTCCAGCTGGTTTTGGGTGGAAGTCCAGTCCTCCAGCCCTGGAATCTGCCGGTGGGATTCTGGGAACTGGGTGAAGTGGCCTCTAGATGTCATCGTGGCTCTGCGGGACGCGGCAGGGCCGGGCACCAGGGAGAGGGGCAGGGAAAGGGCTCCGAGCATCCCTGGCAGGTGGCTCAGGATTCCAGCACCTGCTGGGGCAGGGCCAGAGGGTCTCTGGAGGATTTGCTCCCGCTCTGGAGGGGATCCAGCCGTGCTGTCCCACGGGGTCTGCTTGTTTCCCAACCATCCCTCCACCGTTTCCTCCCAGATTTCAGCAACGTCATCAGCAAGAGCGACGTGAAGGCCTTGGCCGAGGCCGACGAGCAGGAGGTCGTGGCTGAAGTCCAGGTGAAGTTTGGATGTTTTAGGCAGATCCAAAAGCAAAAGGGAGGGTCCAGGCTCACAGACACTGGGGGAGCAGCGGGGCTCTTGTTCCCAACCGGCCTGGGTGGGAGGAGGGATGGACACAAAGGTGGGATTAAGAGGTAGAAGACAGAAATGGTCCCACTTTTCCCTACCCCGTGGCTCTTGGAGCTGCTGCTGGGGCTGTTCTTGGTGCCAGTGCTGGAACACGGCTCTGGGTGGTGACAGACACTGTCCTGCTCCCCCACCAGGAATTCTATGGTGACTACATTGCTGTGAACCCTCACGTCTTCTCCCTCAACATCCTGGGCTGCTGCCGGGTAGGAACACGTCGAGTTCTCCTTGGATTGGGTAACACCAGTACCCACCACAAACTGGGGCGATGGGGGGCTGCTGGAGGGGCCAT